GTGAAAGTTTAGGAGAAGGGGCTCATGGAGCAGTGTTTAAAGGCATGCTCTCCCGAGAAATTGTGGTTGCAGTGAAGATATTGAATGACACAATGGGAGATGGGAAGGACTTCATAAACGAAGTGGGAACCATTGGAAAGATTCATCACGTTAATGTTGTTCGCTTGCTCGGATTCTGCGCGGATGGGTTCCACCGTGCTCTTGTCTACGATTTCTTCCCAAAGGGTTCTCTTGAGAAATTCTTAGCCCCACCGGACAACAAGGATGTTTTCCTCGGTTGGGACATGTTGCAACAAATTGCTCTTGGTGTTGCCAAGGGACTTGAGTATCTTCATCTTGGTTGTGACCACAGAATACTCCACTTCGACATCAACCCTCACAATGTCTTACTAGACGACAACTTGGTCCCAAAAATTACAGACTTTGGACTCGCCAAGTTGTGTCCCAAAAATCAAAGCACGGTGTCTATGACTGCAGCTAGGGGAACCTTAGGCTACATTGCTCCTGAAGTTTTCTCAAGGAACTTCGGTAATGTGTCTTACAAGTCTGACATTTACAGCTTCGGAATGTTGTTGTTGGAGATGGTTGGAGGAAGAAAGAATACCAATAAATCAACAGATGAAAGCTTCCAAGTTTTGTACCCTGAATGGATCCATAATTTGCTTGAAGGCAGAGACGTTCAAGTTAGTATTGAGGATGAGGGAGATGTTAAAATTGCAAAGAAACTGGCCATTGTAGGACTTTGGTGCATTCAGTGGAATCCGGTGGATCGTCCATCCATGAAAACTGTGGTACAGATGATTATAGAAGATGAATATGATAAGTTAATTGTACCCCCTGCTCCTTTTAACATCGCCGGTTCTTCTACAACAAATTCCTTTGTTCCAGCAAGACGTCAAAATTTTGAGTTGGAAGTTATTCATGAAATAGAAGAAGAGTAGATAATGTCGGTCAATTTTCGCTTGGATATATGTGTTGTTGGTGGTGTTCATAAATTATAATTGAGATTTTATTTAGGTAATTGAGATTTTATTTAGGTAATACAGGATGATGTTGCATCATAAAAGATTGTAGTAAACAACATATTTGTTCTTACCGGAATTTGGTTATGGCGATGACCTGTCCAGTAAGATCGGTGAACCTCCTTTGGTGATGTGCTGGTGCTCCAAGATGGGGGAGGTACCTGCAAAAGAGACTCCGATGCTAAAGTTAGGATTTGTGTGAGTATGAGTCTCATATTAATAATGCACGTACCTTAGTGTGAATTAGGTTGTTTTGGGCTCTGGGCCTGAGATAAGATATAGTATGATTAGATAATGTATTTCGCCTGGGGCGAGATCCTTTGGGATCAGTTATGATTTTACTTTAGGTGCCGAGCTGACGTCATGCAATGTGTACCCGAGATCATCCTGCGCCGTGGTGCCGAGCTCTGAGCTCGGTTTCACGGATCGGATAGTACATTAGTCCCTCGAGCTCCGAAGACCGTGAGTCGAGGAGTTTAAGGTTGAGCTCGTCAGGGAAGGAGTATTTCTCGTGAAAGGGGCTTGTCGAGGTGCCACGTGTCGCAGCTATCCATTTCCTGGAATCGTGCGTGTGGCGCATTGAAGGAAATGACGGTTATACAATGATGGTTTCATTTAATGGGCGGTCAGGTGTGCCCCCCAGCTGACACGTGTCGTGGTCGTTTGAATTTCTGGGAAACCTTTTTCTCTTTCTCGCGCCTCTTCTCTTTTCACTTCACCTTTCTTTTTTCACCCTTTCGGCTTCTTGTGCACGCTTTCCTTCCTTTCCTTCTTATCTTCATTCTTTCTTTCTATCGATGGCCGGTGGTCGTGGTGCTAGTTCTTCTGCGTCTGCCAGGGGCAGGACGCGCGGCCAGGTGGTGGCTACTGGAAGTGCCGTCGCCTCGAGGGCGGGTTCGCCTCCACCTGCAGACCTGGAACAGGGCGTTCCTGGTTATGGATGGGTGAAACGTGAAATGGCCAAGGTTGAGAGTGTCTTTAAATCTTTCTTGGAGGTTAACTCGGTTTGGAGGACACATAGGGTTTGCGACCCCTCAATCTCCCAACTGATTCGGTTGGAGCCCTGTCCGGCCGGAGATTGTGTATTCATGGGGGAGTCTACCGGCCCACCCCATTTTTATGTGTATCAGTGCTTTTTCAGGGACCTGGGCATCCGTCTTCCCTTCACTCAGTTCGAGTGTGACTTTTTGAACTATATTAATGCCGCCCTCAGCCAGTTGCATCCCAACAGTTGGGGTTTTCTGAGGGCCTTTCAAGTTCTCTGTACAGTGTTAGGGATAGAGGTGTCTCTTCGCGTTTTCCTCAGCTTTTATCAATTAAAGTCGGGTGCTCCACCTTATGGCGTTCTTTCTTTGAATGGGGGTAAAGATGGGGGTCTGTTTACCCTTTATTCCCAATCTTACAAGAATTACAAGCAGGAGTTTTTTCGAGTCGCTCTTGTTGGTGTTGACCCATCTGAGGATGGTGCGTTTTACTTCGGTGGGCTGCCGAAGTTTCCTCTTTATTGGTGTCCCGACCCGTCTGGGTTCAATGGGGTGGATCCTTCGCAGTTGACGGCCTCGGAGGTGGCTTCCATTGAGAATCTCAAGGCGCTTCCCCGTCCTCTGGATGTTAAACTCGTTCTGTCACTTGAGAGTTCGTTGCACAGAGAGAGCGGTTTGGAGAGTGAGTATCTCTTATTTTTGTGGTTCGTGCATCTTTGCTTTTGTTGACATGTGTTCCGCTGCTTGTTTGCAGGTATATTGGGGAAAAACTCGTGGCGCGAGTTAAAGCACCGTTATAGGGTTACCGAGCTCGAGTGATGGAGGCGCGTGGCAAG